CACATGAGAGAGAACACATGAGAGAGAGAACACATGAGAGAGAGAACACATGAGAGAGAACACGAGAGAACACATGAGAGAGAGAACACATGAGAGAGAACACATGAGAGAGAGAACACGAGAGAACACATGCGAGAGAACACATGAGAGAGAACACATGAGAGAGAGAACACATGAGAGAGAGAACACATGAGAGAGAGAACACATGAGAGAGAGAACACATGAGAGAGAGAACACGAGAGAACACATGCGAGAGAACACATGAGAGAACACATGAGAGAGAACACATGAGAGAGAGAACACATGAGAGAGAGAACACATGAGAGAGAACACATGAGAGAGAGAACACATGAGAGAGAGAACACATGAGAGAGAACACATGAGAGAGAGAACACATGAGAGAGAGAACACATGAGAGAGAGAACACATGAGAGAGAACACATGAGAGAGAGAACACATGAGAGAGAGAACACATGAGAGAGAACACATGAGAGAGAGAACACATGAGAGAGAGAACACATGAGAGAGAACACATGAGAGAGAGAACACATGAGAGAGAGAACACATGAGAGAGAGAACACATGAGAGAGAACACATGAGAGAGAGAACACATCAGAGAGAGAACACATGCGAGAAAGAACACATGAGAGAGAACACGAGAGAGAACACATGAGAGAGAGAACACGAGAGAGAACACATGAGAGAGAACACATGAGAGAGAACACATGAGAGAGAACACATGAGAGAGAACACATGAAAGAGAGAACACATGCGAGAGAACACATGAGAGCGAGAACACGAGAGAGAACACATGAGAGAGAGAACACATGAGAGAGAGAACACGAGAGAGAGAACACATGAGAGAGAAAACACATGAGAGAACACATGAGAGAGAAAACATGAGAGAGAGAACACATGAGAGAGTGAACACATGAGAGAGAGAACAAATGAGAGAGAGAACACATAAGAGAGAGAACACATGAGAGAGAGAACACATGCGAGAGAGAACACATGAGAGAGAGAACACATGAGAGAGAGAACACATGAGAGAGAACACGAGAGAGAACACATGAGAGAGAGAACACATGAGAGAGAGAACACATGCGAGAGAACACATGAGAGAGAGAACACGAGAGAGAACACATGAGAGAGAGAACACGAGAGAGAACACATGAGAGAGAGAACACATGAGAGAGAACACATGAGAGAGAACACGAGAGAGAACACATGAGAGAGAACACATGAGAGAGAGAACAAATGCGAGAGAACACATGAGAGAGAGAACACGAGAGAGAACACATGAGAGAGAACACATGAGAGCGAGAACACGAGAGAGAACACATGAGAGAGAGAACACATGAGAGAGAGAACACATGCGAGAGAACACATGAGAGAGAGAACACATGAGAGAGAGAACACATGAGAGAGAACACATGAGAGAGAGAACACATGAGAGAGAGAACACATGAGAGAGAGAACACATTAGAGAGAGAACACATGAGAGAGAGAACACATGAGAGAGAGAACACATGAGAGAGAACACATGAGAGAGAGAACACATGAGAGAGAGAACACATGAGAGAGAGAAGAACACATGAGAGAGAGAACACATTAGAGAGAGAACACATGAGAGAGAGAACACATGAGAGAGAGAACACATGAGAGAGAACACATGAGAGAGAGAACACATGAGAGAGAGAACACATGAGAGAGAACACATGAGAGAGAGAACACATGAGAGAGAACACATGAGAGAGAGAACACATGAGAGAGAGAACACATGAGAGAGAGAACACATGAGAGAGAACACATGAGAGAGAGAACACATGAGAGAGAAAACACATGAGAGAGAGAACACATGAGAGAGAGAACACATGAGAGAGAACACATGAGAGAGAGAACACATGAGAGAGAGAACACATGAGAGAGAACAAATGAGAGAGAGAACACATGCGAGAGAGAACACATGAGAGAGAACACGAGAGAGAACACATGAGAGAGAGAACACGAGAGAGAACACATGAGAGAGAACACATGAGAGAGAGAACACATGAGAGAGAACACGAGAGAGAACACATATGAGAGAACACATGAGAGAGAGAACACATGAGAGAGAACACATGAGAGAGAGAACACATGCGAGAGAACACATGAGAGAGAACACATGGGAGAGAGAACACATGCGAGAGAACACATGAGAGAGAGAACACGAGAGAGAACACATGAGAGAGAACACATGAGAGAGAACACATGAGAGAGAACACGAGAGAGAACACATGAGAGAGAACACATGAGAGAGAGAACACATGAGAGAGAACACATGAGAGAGAGAACACATGAGAGAGAGAACACATGAGAGAGAACACATGAGAGAGAGAACACGAGAGAGAGAACACATGAGAGAGAACACATGAGAGAGAGAACACATGAGAGAGAGAACACATGAGAGAGAGAACACATAAGAGAGAACACATGAGAGAGAGAACACATGAGAGAGAGAACACATGAGAGAGAACACATGAGAGAGAGAACACATGAGAGAGAACACATGAGAGAGAGAACACGAGAGAGAACACATGAGAGAGAACACATGAGAGAGAGAACACATGAGAGAGAGAACACATGAGAGAGAACACGAGAGAACACATGAGAGAGAGAACACATGAGAGAGAACACATGAGAGAGAGAACGCGAGAGAACACATGCGAGAGAACACATGAGAGAGAACACATGAGAGAGAGAACACATGAGAGAGAGAACACATGAGAGAGAACACATGAGAGAGAGAACACGAGAGAACACATGCGAGAGAACACATGAGAGAGAACACATGAGAGAGAGAACACATGAGAGAGAACACATGAGAGAGAACACATGAGAGAGAGAACACATGAGAGAACACATGAGAGAACACATGAGAGAGAACACATGAGAGAGAGAACACATGAGAGAGAGAACACATGAGAGAGAACACATGAGAGAGAGAACACATGAGAGAGAGAACACATGAGAGAGAACACATGAGAGAGAGAACACATGAGAGAGAGAACACATGAGAGAGAGAAACATGAGAGAGAACACATGAGAGAGAGAACACATGAGAGAGAGAACACTGAGAGAGAACACATGAGAGAGAGAACACATGAGAGAGAGAACACATGAGAGAGAACACATGAGAGAGAGAACACATGAGAGAGAGAACACATGAGAGAGAGAACACATGAGAGAGAACACATGAGAGAGAGAAACACATCAGAGAGAGAACACATGCGAGAGAGAACACATGAGAGAGAACACGAGAGAGAACACATGAGAGAGAGAACACGAGAGAGAACACATGAGAGAGAACACATGAGAGAGAACACATGAGAGAGAACACATGCGAGAGAACACATGAAAGAGAGAACACATGCGAGAGAACACATGAGAGCGAGAACACGAGAGAGAACACATGAGAGAGAGAACACATGAGAGAGAGAACACATGAGAGAGAGAACACGAGAGAGAGAACACATGAGAGAGAAAACACATGAGAGAACACATGAGAGAGAAAACATGAGAGAGAGAACACATGAGAGAGTGAACACATGAGAGAGAGAACAAATGAGAGAGAGAACACATAAGAGAGAGAACACATGAGAGAGAGAACACATGCGAGAGAGAACACATGAGAGAGAGAACACATGAGAGAGAACACGAGAGAGAACACATGAGAGAGAGAACACATGAGAGAGAGAACACATGCGAGAGAACACATGAGAGAGAGAACACGAGAGAGAACACATGAGAGAGAGAACACGAGAGAGAACACATGAGAGAGAGAACACATGAGAGAGAACACATGAGAGAGAACACGAGAGAGAACACATGAGAGAGAACACATGAGAGAGAGAACAAATGCGAGAGAACACATGAGAGAGAGAACACGAGAGAGAACACATGAGAGAGAACACATGAGAGCGAGAACACGAGAGAGAACACATGAGAGAGAGAACACATGAGAGAGAGAACACATGCGAGAGAACACATGAGAGAGAGAACACATGCGAGAGAACACATGAGAGAGAACACATGAGAGAGAGAACACATGAGAGAGAGAACACATGAGAGAGAGAACACATGAGAGAGAACACATGAGAGAGAGAACACATCAGAGAGAGAACACGAGAGAACACATGAGAGAGAACACATGAGAGAGAACACATGAGAGAGAGAACACATGAGAGAGAACACATGAGAGAGAGAACACATGAGAGAGAGAACACATGAGAGAGAACACATGAGAGAGAACACATGAGAGAGAACACATGAGAGAACACAAGAGAGAACACATGAGAGAGAGAACACATGAGAGAGAACACATGAGAGTACACAAGAGAGAACACATGAGAGAGAGAACACATGAGAGAGAGAACACATGAGAGAGAGAACACATGAGAGAGAGAACACATGAGAGAGAACACATGAGAGAGAGAACACATGAGAGAGAACACATGAGAGAGAGAACACATGAGAGAGAACACATGAGAGAGAACACATGAGAGAGAACACATGAGAGAGAACACATGAGAGAGAACACATGAGAGAGAGAACACATGAGAGAGAGAACACGAGAGAGAACACATGAGAGAGAACACATGAGAGAGAACACATGAGAGAAAGAACACGAGAGAGAACACATGAGAGAGAACACATGAGAGAGAACACATGAGAGAGAACACATGAGAGAGAGAACACATGCGAGAGAACACATTAGAGAGAGAACACATGAGAGAGAGAACACGAGAGAGAACACATGAGAGAGAGAACATATGAGAGAGAACACATGAGAGAGAACACATGAGAGAGAACACATGAGAGAGAGAACACATGAGAGAGAACACATGAGAGAGAGAACACATGAGAGAGAGAACACATGAGAGAGAGAACACATGAGAGAGAACACATGAGAGAGAACACATGAGAGAGAACACATGAGAGAGAACACATTCGAACGGTACCTGAGGGTTTGAAGCCGGTCAACTGCACGACCTGCAAAACACACACACTGTTACACACAGACCAGAGGGAGACCAGAGAGAGACCAGAGAGAGACCAGAGAGAGACCAGAGAGAGACCAGAGAGAGAGACCAGTGAGAGACCAGAGAGAGACCAGAGAGAGACCAGAGAGAGACCAGAGAGAGACTAGAGAGAGACCAGAGAGAGACCAGTGAGAGACCAGAGAGAGAGACCAGTGAGAGACCAGAGAGAGACCAGAGAGAGACCAGAGAGAGACCAGAGAGAGACTAGAGAGAGACCAGAGAGAGACCAGAGAGAGAGACCAGAGAGAGACCAGAGAGAGAGACCAGAGAGAGACCAGAGAGAGACCAGAGAGAGACCAGAGAGAGACCAGAGAGAGACCAGAGAGAGACCAGAGAGAGACCAGAGAGAGACTAGAGAGAGACCAGAGAGAGAGACCAGAGAGAGACCAGAGAGAGACCAGAGAGAGAGACCAGAGAGAGACCAGAGAGAGACCAGAGAGAGAGACCAGAGAGAGACCAGAGAGAGACCAGAGAGAGACTAGAGAGAGACCAGAGAGAGACCAGAGAGAGACCAGAGAGAGACCAGAGAGAGACTAGAGAGAGACCAGAGAGAGAGACCAGAGAGAGACCAGAGAGAGACCAGAGAGAGAGACCAGAGAGAGACCAGAGAGAGACCAGAGAGAGAGACCAGAGAGAGACCAGAGAGAGACCAGAGAGAGACCAGAGAGAGACCAGAGAGAGACCAGAGAGAGAGACCAGAGAGAGACCAGAGAGAGACCAGAGAGAGACCAGAGAGAGACCAGAGAGGGCTATACTTTTTATTGACTTTGAATATACAGTATATAACTGTTATTCTGTGTGATGATGAGTAAACACTGAGGGACCATGATCTGACGTCCTACTTTCTCTCTCCTGTTTCAAAGTAGACAGAAGAGGCTTGGATAAATCTGTGACCCCGAGCTTTAGTAAGACGTGTTCATGGAGTCACTCACTTGGTTTCCTGACGACGGTCGTGTGGAGAAACTGACAATACTCTCCTTTCGAAAACTCTCTGCAGAAAAACACAGTAAACTTCAGGAACTCAGAGTCTGCGTCAGACCAGGTCCAGGCCTCACCGTTCTTGATGACCAGGGAGGTGGATGCGGAGCTGGGGGCCCCCGAGGTGTCGCTGGTCTCTGGGCTGGAGGGGGACGGAGGGTACCGGCCCCAGGAGCTCACAGGGGCCCGCTGCGAAGGGAGGAAGCTGCCGGGCTGCGAGCAGTTCTGAGACACAAGCAACACATAAGACAATCTTCATGTCCCAATGGCATGAAACACAACACTCAACAACAACTCAATAAAGTGCATTTGAATTGGACAAAACTGTCTCTGATCTTAGTCTGTGTCTTTGGGACACATCGGGATCGTCCTGTCGTAAAGAACCAGGACCTTCTCATTCTTTGCTAAAAGCTGCTTCAGTGTCAAAAAGTAAAGAAACATGTTTGTTTAGAGCAGATTATTTTAATAACTTTGTGTTCATTCAATAGAACAGAATAAATATATCACTACACTAGGGTTAGAACATGCCACTCGAACCCAGAACCTTCTTGCTGAGAAGCTAACCACTCAGACACTGTGCCGCACAAGAGAGTCACGCCTCCTCTCTGTGGCCCGGGGGCCTCATCCGGCCCGGTCTGCAGAGCTTTGGATTCATTTAAGTCTTTTCTTGGTCCAGTCCCTTTCATGAGACATTTGACCAAAGGTAACGAGCTCCGGGTTCACAGGGTCAAGAAACTTTAGAAAGTTACTCACAGGTACAGAATCTACAGAAACAACATCAGAAATCATTAGTCCTGGTCTCAGGTCTCTGTCCTGAAGTCCTCTAACATTAGTCCTGGTCTCAGGTCTCTGTCCTGAAGTACTCTCACATTAGTCCTGGTCTCAGGTCTCAGGTCTCTGTCCTGAAGTCCTCTCACATTAGTCCTGGTCTCAGGTCTCTGTCCTGAAGTACTCTCACATTAGTCCTGGTCTCAGGTCTCTGTCCTGAAGTCCTCTCACATTAGTCCTGGTCTCAGGTCTCTGTCCTGAAGTCCTCTCACATTAGTCCTGGTCTCAGGTCTCTGTCCTGAAGTACTCTCACATTAGTCCTGGTCTCAGGTCTCTGTCCTGAAGTCCTCTCACATTAGTCCTGGTCTCAGGTCTGTCCTGAAGTCCTCTCACATTAGTCCTGGTCTCAGGTCTCTGTCCTGAAGTCCTCTCACATTAGTCCTGGTCTCAGGTCTCTGTCCTGAAGTCCTCTCACATTAGTCCTGGTCTCAGGTCTCTGTCCTGAAGTCCTCTCACATTAGTCCTGGTCTCAGGTCTCTGTCCTGAAGTCCTCTCACATTAGTCCTGGTCTCAGGTCTCTGTCCTGAAGTCCTCTCACATTAGTCCTGGTCTCAGGTCTCTGTCCTGAAGTCCTCTCACATTAGTCCTGGTCTCAGGTCTCTGTCCTGAAGTCCTCTCACATTAGTCCTGGTCTCAGGTCTCTGTCCTGAAGTCCTCTCACATTAGTCCTGGTCTCAGGTCTCTGTCCTGAAGTCCTCTCACATTAGTCCTGGTCTCAGGTCTCTGTCCTGAAGTCCTCTCACATTAGTCCTGGTCTCAGGTCTCTGTCCTGAAGTCCTCTCACATTAGTCCTGGTCTCAGGTCTCTGTCCTGAAGTCCTCTCACATTAGTCCTGGTCTCAGGTCTCTGTCCTGAAGTCCTCTCACATTAGTCCTGGTCTCAGGTCTCTGTCCTGAAGTCCTCTCACATTAGTCCTGGTCTCAGGTCTCTGTCCTGAAGTCCTCTCACATTAGTCCTGGTCTCAGGTCTCTGTCCTGAAGTCCTCTCACATTAGTCCTGGTCTCAGGTCTCTGTCCTGAAGTCCTCTCACATTAGTCCTGGTCTCAGGTCTCTGTCCTGAAGTCCTCTCCCATTAGTCCTGGTCTCAGGTCTCTGTCCTGGAGTCCTCTCACATTAGTCCTGGTCCCAGGTCTCTGTCCTGAAGTATAGTAGGTAGTAAGTAAGTAATGTATACTCTATAGACCAGTACATTAGTCTGTCAGTCCACACAGAGATGGGAGGGGCCAGTACAGGAGGCACAGAACTATTGGACATGTTTTTAGTGGTAGGGGAAACCGGAGGAACCGGAAAAAACCTACACAGACACAGGGAGAACATGCAGAACATGAGAAGGAGAACTCAGAAAGGCCCTGTTCTGATCGGGACTCAAACCCAGGACCTTCTTGCTGAGAAGTGAGAGTGCTAACCACTCAGCCACCGTGCCGCCATGTGTATAGTACCATGTGTGTAGCACGATGTGTGTAGTACCATGTGTGTAGCACGATGTGTGTAGTACCATGTATGCATGACTGAGAGCGTTCTGTGGAGCATCAGGATCACGGACCAGACCGTCTCAGTCCTGGGTCTACAGCCTCAGTCCTGGGTCTACAGCCTCAGTCCTGGGTCTACAGCCTCAGTCCTGGGTCTACAGCCTCAGTCCTGGGTCTACAGCCTCAGTCCTGGGTCTACAGCCTCAGTCCTGGGTCTACAGCCTCAGTCCTGGGTCTACAGCCTCAGTCCTGGGTCTAAAGCCTCAGTCCTGGGTCTAACTAAACAAAAACACATATTGGCTGCGTTGCCATAAGACTGCAGGGCTCAGAAAGTGCTGTAATCACAAAGTGCTTAGGGCAAAGAAAATGTAAATACTAAATTCTGATGTACAAAATACAGACAATACACCTTGTTTGTTTCCTTTCCACCAAATTATATTAGCTTTAGCATTAGCATTAGCATTAGCTTTAGCATTAGCATTATCACTCACGGTGAACGATAAGGCCTTCCTCTTCTCTTTGATCCTCTTGATAGCGCTCCGCACCTACAGCAGGAGGAGCAGCTTTAGGCTCAGGCATTTCTTTCACACAAGAAGACAAATGTACAGCAGTCTCTCTCTGGTCTCTCTCTGGTCTCTCTCTGGTCTCTCTCTGGTCTCTCTCTGGTCTCTCTCTGGTCTCTCTCTGGTCTCCCTCTGGTCTCTCTCTGGTCTCTCTCTGGTCTCCCTCTGGTCTCTCTCTGGTCTCCCTCTGGTCTCTCTGGTCTCCCTCTGGTCTCCCTCTGGTCTCCCTCTGGTCTCCCTCTGGTCTCTCTCTGGTCTCTCTCTGGTCTTCCTCTGGTCTCTCTCTGGTCTCCCTCTGGTCTCCCTCTGGTCTCCCTCTGGTCTCCCTCTGGTCTCTCTCTGGTCTCCCTCTGGTCTCTCTGGTCTCCCTCTGGTCTCCCTCTGGTCTCCCTCTGGTCTCCCTCTGGTCTCCCTCTGGTCTCCCTCTGGTCTCTCTCTGGTCTCTCTCTGGTCTCTCTCTGGTCGCTCTCTGGTCTCTCTCTGGTCTCTCTCTGGTCTCTCTCTGGTCTCACTCTGGTCTCACTCTGGTCTCACTCTGGTCTCACTCTGGTCTCACTCTGGTCTCTCTCTGGTCTCTCTCTGGTCTCTCTCTCTGGTCTCTCTCTGGTCTCACTCTGGTCTCACTCTGGTCTCACTCTGGTCTCACTCTGGTCTCACTCTGGTCTCTCTCTGGTCTCACTCTGGTCTCTCACCTCGCTGTTGTACACGGCGTAGACCATAAATATGTAGAGACCCTGTGGACAGAGACACAGGTGCGTGAGGAGAGAACAAAGAATTCACACAGTTCTGAGTCTTATCAGTTTCACTCCCTTCAGCTCAGCGCCGGAGGTGGCAGACGTCCAGGCTACTATACTCTACTCTACTCTACACTACTCTACCATACTATACTATACTCTACTATACTCTAATATACTATACTGTCTCTGTAACTATACTGTCTCTGTAACTATACTGTCTCTGTAACTATACTGTCTCTCAGTCATCTTTTTATACAAAGTATATGACTGAGACAGTATAGTTACAGAGACAGTATAGTTACAGAGACAGTATAGTTACAGAGACAGTATAGTTACAGAGGACAGTATAGTTACAGAGACAGTATAGTTACAGAGACAGTATAGTTACAGAGGACAGTATAGTTACAGAGGACAGTATAGTTACAGAGACAGTATAGTTACAGAGACAGTATAGTTACAGAGACAGTATAGTTACAGAGACAGTATAGTTACAGAGACAGTATAGTTACAGAGGACAGTATAGTTACAGAGGACAGTATAGTTACAGAGGACAGTATAGTTACAGAGGACAGTATAGTTACAGAGACAGTATAGTTTCAGAGGACAGTATAGTTACAGAGGACAGTATAGTTACAGAGACAGTATAGTTACAGAGACAGTATAGTTTCAGAGGACAGTATAGTTACAGAGGACAGTATAGTTACAGAGACAGTATAGTTACAGAGACAGTATAGTTTCAGAGGACAGTATAGTTACAGAGGACAGTATAGTTACAGAGACAGTATAGTTACAGAGACAGTATAGTTACAGAGGACAGTATAGTTACAGAGGACAGTATAGTTACAGAGACAGTATAGTTACAGAGGACAGTATAGTTACAGAGACAGTATAGTTACAGAGACAGTATAGTTACAGAGACAGTATAGTTACAGAGGACAGTATAGTTACAGAGACAGTATAGTTACAGAGGACAGTATAGTTTCAGAGGACAGTATAGTTACAGAGGACAGTATAGTTACAGAGACAGTATAGTTACAGAGACAGTATAGTTTCAGAGGACAGTATAGTTACAGAGGACAGTATAGTTACACAGACAGTATAGTTACAGAGACAGTATGGTTACAGAGACAGTATAGTTACAGAGACACTATAGTTACAGAGACAGTATAGTTTCAGAGGACAGTATAGTTACAGAGGACAGTATAGTTACAGAGGACAGTATAGTTACAGAGACAGTATAGTTACAGAGACAGTATAGTTACAGAGACAGTATAGTTTCAGAGGACAGTATAGTTACAGAGACAGTATAGTTACAGAGGACAGTATAGTTACAGAGACAGTATAGTTACAGAGGACAGTATAGTTACAGAGGACAGTATAGTTACAGAGGACAGTATAGTTACAGAGGACAGTATAGTTACAGAGGACAGTATAGTTTCAGAGGACAGTATAGTTACAGAGGACAGTATAGTTACAGAGGACAGTATAGTTACAGAGACAGTATAGTTACAGAGACAGTATAGTTACAGAGACAGTATAGTTACAGAGGACAGTATAGTTACAGAGGACAGTATAGTTACAGAGGACAGTATAGTTACAGAGACAGTATAGTTACAGAGACAGTATAGTTACAGAGACAGTATAGTTACAGAGACAGTATAGTTACAGAGACAGTATAGTTACAGAGGACAGTATAGTTACAGAGGACAGTATAGTTACAGAGGACAGTATAGTTACAGAGGACAGTATAGTTACAGAGGACAGTATAGTTACAGAGACAGTATAGTTACAGAGACACAGTACAGTAGCATCACATGCTAACATGTGTCTGTGTGTATCAGTGTGTGTGTGTATGTGTGTATCAGTGTGTTTGTGTCTGTGTGTATCAGTGTGTGTGTGTATGTGTGTATCAGTGTGTGTGTGTATGTGTGTATCACTGTGTGTGTGTATACTGTATGTGTATCAGTGTGTGTGTGTGTCTGTGTGTATCGGTGTGTGTCTGTGTCTATCAGTGTGTGTGTGTGTGTGTGTCCTCCTCTTCCTCCTCCTCTTCCTCTTATCTTCCTCTGGTTGTAAATCTAAATTAACGAGCAGCTCTGAGGTCACGCAGGGTTCGGCTCCTTCTGATTAATTAAAGATCAGTGGGAGTGTTGTTGAGAGGCCCCAACACACACACGTACACACACACACACACACACACACACACACACACATAAAACCTGCAACACACACACTGATACACACGCACACACACAACCTGCACATAACCTGCGCACACGCACAGACACACACAAACACACACACACAAACGCACACGGACACGCACAGACACACACACTGAGACATGAGCCTGTGAGAATCTGCAGCTCCTTGTCCCTGGGACTGGCCTCCTGCTGGGACTCTGAGGAGCACAGGGACTGGCCTCCTGCTGGGACTCTGAGGAGCACAGGGACTGGACTCCTGCTGGGACTCTGAGGAGCACAGGGACTGGACTCCTGCTGGGACTCTGAGGAGCACAGGGACTGGACTCCTGCTGGGACTCTGAGGAGCACAGGGACTGGCCTCCTGCTGGGACTCTGAGGAGCACAGGGACTGGACTCCTGCTGGGACTCTGAGGAGCACAGGGACTGGACTCCTGCTGGGACTCTGAGGAGCACAGGGACTGGACTCCTGCTGGGACTCTGAGGAGCACAGGGACTGGACTCCTGCTGGGACTCTGAGGAGCACAGGGACTGGACTCCTGCTGGGACTCTGAGGAGCACAGGGACTGGCCTCCTGCTGGGACTCTGAGGAGCACAGGGACTGGACTCCTGCTGGGACTCTGAGGAGCACAGGGACTGGCCTTCTGCTGGTCCCAGAGTCAGGACTAAACATGTGTGTGGAGGAGCAGCAGGACATGTTGCTGTGGCGCCACCTGCAGGTGAAGGCCAGGTCCTGTGGTTATTTAGGATTTCTTCTGGTTTTGTTCAGCTGTTTTTACGACACATAAACACACTCAGTCTGGGAACACCGGGTGCCACAGGGCGGCTGCGGCTGTGTCCTTAAGCAAGACACGAGTCTGGTGTGTGTGTGAATGGTTGGTGGTGGTGGGAGGGGCCGATGGCACAGACTGGTTGCCTCACTTCTGTCTGTGTGCCCCAGGGCAGCTGTGGCTACAGTAGTTTATCACCACCGTGTACAGAGATTGATTCTGTTGCAAGAAATTTTAAACATCCAAAAAAGTAAAAGCGTCAGTCCTGGATCTACAGCCTCAGTCCTGGGTCTACAGCCTCAGTCCTGGGTCTACAGTCTCAGTTCTGGTCTACAGCCTCAGTCCTGGTCTACAGCCTCAGTCCTGGGTCTACAGCCTCAGTCCTGGATCTACAGCCTCAGTCCTGGATCTACAGCCTCAGTCCTGGGTCTACAGCCTCAGTCCTGGGTCTACAGCCTCAGTCCTGGGTCTACAGTCTCAGTCCTGGTCTAAAGCCTCAGTCCTGGGTCTAATGTGACATACACATTTACCTGGAAAGCATTGAGGATGATGAAGATGTAAGCCACGGCCACAGAGAGGTGCACTAGGACCCCGCACAGCCAGGTCAGGCCCAGGACCGGGAGCAGGATGAGGACCGGGCGGCTCACAGCCCTGCAACACACACACCACACACTCAGTGACATTGTGGGGACCGTCTCTGACGCTGCTCGAGGCCAAAAGGACGACTCTGCAAAAGGATCTAAAACAACAATATTATGAACAGTTCTAAACTTACAGTGATCTGAGAAATGACACGACACGTTTATGTTGTATGTTTTGGAAACTTAGAAGTTTATTGGGCTGAAAATCACCGCTCTGTAGCAGCCAAGCCCCAGCGGTCTAAGATGGTGGCCGGATCAAATCAGTGGCTTTTGTCCTTCCGGGTCTCTGCAGTGAACGAGCTCCTAATTCTAACAAGCACGTGTGTGTGTCTCATGCATGCGCACAGAGGGGCAGCGTTCTGACCAATCAGAGTTGATTCACTAAGCCCATTTATAGAAAACTGACTGTAGCAGTGACTGTAGCAGCAGTGACTGTAGCAGCAGTGACTGTTGCAGTGACTGTAGCAGCAGTGACTGTAGCAGCAGTGACTGTAGCAGTGACTGTAGCAGTGACTGTAGCAGCAGTGACTGTAGCAGTGACTGTAGCAGTGACTGTAGCAGTGACTGTAGCAGCAGTGACTGTAGCAGTGACTGTAGCAGTGGCTGTAGCAGCAGTGACTGTAGCAGCAGTGACTGTAGCATCAGTGACTGTAGCATCAGTGACTGTAGCAGTGACTGTAGCAGTGACTGTAGCAGTGACTGTAGCAGTGACTGTAGCAGCAGTGGCTGTAGCAGCAGTGACTGTAGCAGCAGTGACTGTAGAGCAGTGGCTGTAGCAGCAGTGACTGTAGCAGCAGTGACTGTAGCAGCAGTGACTGTAGCAGCAGTGACTGTAGCAGTGACTGTAGCAGCAGTGACTGTAGCAGCAGTGACTGTTGCAGTGACTGTAGCAGCAGTGACTGTAGCAGTGACTGTAGCAGCAGTGACTGTAGCAGTGACTGTAGCAGCAGTGACTGTTGCAGCAGTGACTGTAGCAGCAGTGGCTGTAGCAGTGACTGTAGCAGCAGTGGCTGTAGCAGTGACTGTAGCAGCAGTGGCTGTAGCAGCAGTGACTGTAGCAGCAGTGACTGTAGCAGTGACTGTAGCAGCAGTGACTGCAGCAGCAGTGACTGTAGCAGCAGTGGCTGTAGCAGCAGTGGCTGTAGCATCAGTGACTGTAGCATCAGTGACTGTAGCAGTGACTGTAGCAGCAGTGACTGTTGCAGCAGTGACTGTAGCAGCAGTGGCTGTAGCAGTGACTGTAGCAGCAGTGGCTGTAGCAGTGACTGTAGCAGCAGTGGCTGTAGCAGCAGTGACTGTAGCAGCAGTGACTGTAGCAGTGACTGTAGCAGCAGTGACTGTAGCAGCAGTGACCGTAGCAGCAGTGACTGTAGCAGCAGTGACTGTAGCAGCAGTGACTGTAGCAGCAGTGGCTGTAGCAGCAGTGACTGTAGCAGCAGTGACTGTAGCAGCAGTGACTGCAGCAGTGACTGTAGCAGCAGTGACTGTAGCAGTGACTGTAGCAGCAGTGACTGCAGCAGTGACTGTAGCAGCAGTGACTGTAGCAGCAGTGGCTGTAGCAGCAGTGACCGTAGCAGCAGTGACTGTAGCAGCAGTGACTGTAGCAGCAGTGGCTGTAGCAGCAGTGACTGTAGCAGCAGTGACTGTAGCAGCAGTGACTGCAGCAGTGACTGTAGCAGTGACTGTGACTGTAGCAGTGACTGTAGCAGCAGTGACTGTAGCAGCAGTGACTGTAGCAGTGACTGTAGCAGTGACTGTAGCAGCAGTGACTGTAGCAGTGACTGTAGCAGCAGTGACTGCAGCAGTGACTGTAGCAGTGACTGTAGCAGCAGTGACTGTAGCAGCAGTGACTGTAGCAGTGACTGTAGCAGCAGTGACTGTAGCAGCAGTGACTGCAGCAGTGACTGTAGCAGTGACTGTAGCAGCAGTGACTGTAGCAGCAGTGACTGTAGCAGTGACTGTAGCAGTGACTGCAGCAGTGACTGTAGCAGCAGTGACTGTAGCAGCAGTGACTGTAGCAGCAGTGGCTGTAGCAGCAGTGACTGTAGCAGCAGTGACTGTAGCAGCAGTGACTGCAGCAGTGACTGTAGCAGCAGTGACTGTAGCAGCAGTGACTGTAGCAGCAGTGACTGTAGCAGCAGTGACTGCAGCAGTGACTGTAGCAATGACTGTAGCAGCAGTGACTGTAGCAGCAGTGACTGTAGCAGCAGTGACTGTAGCAGCAGTGACTGTAGCAGTGACTGTAGCAGCAGTGGCTGTAGCAGCAGTGACTGCAGCAGTGACTGCAGCAGTGGCTGTAGCAGTGACTGTAGCAGTGACTGTAGCAGCAGTGACTGTAGCAGTGACTGTAGCAGCAGTGACTGCAGCAGTGACTGTAGCAGCAGTGACTGTAGCAGCAGTGACTGTAGCAGCAGTGGCTGTAGCAGCAGTGACTGTAGCAGCAGTGACTGTAGCAGCAGTGACTGTAGCAGCAGTGACTGCAGCAGTGACTGCAGCAGTGACTGTAGCAGCAGTGACTGTAGCAGTGACTGTAGCAGTGACTGTAGCAGCAGTGACTGCAGCAGTGACTGTAGCAGCAGTGACTGTAGCAGCAGTGACTGTAGCAGCAGTGACTGTAGCAGCAGTGGCTGTAGCAGCAGTGACTGTAGCAGCAGTGACTGTAGCAGCAGTGGCTGTAGCAGCAGTGACTGTAGCAGCAGTGACTGCAGCAGTGACTGTAGCAGCAGTGACTGTAGCAGTGACTGTAGCAGCAGTGACTGTAGCAGCAGTGACTGCAGCAGTGACTGCAGCAGTGGCTGTAGCAGCAGTGACTGCAGCAGTGACTGTAGCAGCAGTGACTGTAGCAGCAGTGGCTGTAGCAGCAGTGACTGCAGCAGTGACTGTAGCAGTGACTGTAGCAGCAGTGACTGTAGCAGCAGTGACTGTAGCAGTGACTGTAGCAGTGGCTGTAGCAGCAGTGACTGCAGCAGTGACTGTAGCAGCAGTGACTGTAGCAGCAGTGGCTGTAGCAGCAGTGACTGCAGCAGTGACTGTAGCAGCAGTGACTGCGTAGTTAGCAAGTCCCTGTCGTGTCTTAATGACTTGGATATTTCAAACTCCAACAAGGAACGAGAAGCCACGCCCACATGGCAGCTCATAGTCTGCTGAGTGTGGAAGAATCACTTCAGTCTGCCTTGGGGCAGCTGTGGCTACAGACATTACTGTAGCTGTGCACAGAGTGAATGAATAATAGAAGTGTCTATAAGAAATTATACGTAAAAAGCAATGTCATTTCAAACCAATATTACTGAAGTAAAATTAGCAGTAAGTAGATTTCCCTGAGGGCGAGAGAAACCCCCCTGAGAGCGAGAGAAACCCCCCCTGAGAGCCCCCACAGACTGTGAGACCAAGTGAAGCCACAGTCCAACACATCACGAGGCACTGCACAGTCCAGACCTTGCACTAAAACCACCTCCACATCTTGAACTGGCTGCACTTTCCTCAGAGTTGTGCTGCATATGAAATGCGGCGACAATAGCTCTCGGCGCGGCCTCCGCACTTCAGTGTTTCTGATGAAGGACTGTTCAAGGTGCTCCGTGTGTTTCCGTCGCATGCATTTGGCGACGGTCGACACTTCTGTTCTTTTCGCAATCACATTTTCAGAGGTGCTTGGACGTCCAATAGCGGTTGGTGGGTCAAGGCAGCTGCGGCGTTTTGTTCTGTGGCTATTGTGGTGACGGCGCCGCACCTGGGCAGAGACGATGGGAGACTGCAGCACACAAGGACAAAAGCTCGCCCTGCTCTGCTTTATTCTGTACAAAGTTGTGTTTGTAAAGTCTCCTCGAGGCGGGGTCAGGACTAGAGCAGACTCAGACCTGGTCTTCCTGCTCCTCACTGCAGCATTTACATCATGTCAGATCCATCCACGTGTCGCCGCACACATCATAGACCTGATCAGAGACCAGAGGGAGACCAGGGGAAGACCAGAGGGAGACCAGAGGGAGACCAGGGGAAGACCAGAGGGAGACCAGAGACAGACCAGGGGAAGACCAGAGGAAGACCAGAGGAAGACCAGAGGAAGACCAGAGGAAGACCAGAGGAAGACCCGGGGAAGACCAGGGGAAGACCAGAGGAAGACCAGAGGAAGACCAGAGGAAGACCAGAGGAAGACCAGAGGAAGACCAGAGGAAGACCCGGGGAAGACCAGGGGAAGACCAGGGGAAGACCAGGGGAAGACCAGAGGAAGACCAGAGGAAGACCAGAGGAAGACCAGAGGAAGACCAGAGGAAGACCCGGGGAAGACCAGGGGAAGACCAAGAGAAGACCAGGGGAACACCAGAGGGAGACCGCTGATGAAGAGGAGCTGACTGTGATGAAGAGCAGAGGGCACGACATCAGCCTCGATCTCATTTCAAAATCAATTTAATCCAAAGAAATGTTACAGAGTCTCTCTCCTGATCTGAGGTAGTATATAACAGTAGTATATAACAGTAGTATATAACAGTAGTTTATAACAGTAGTTTATAACAGTAGTATATGACAGTAGTATATGACAGTAGTATATGACAGTAGTATATGACAGTAGTATATGATAGTAGTATATAACAGTAGTATATAACAGCAGTATATAACAGTAGTATATAACAGCAGTATATAGCAGTAGTATATGACAGTAGTATATGTCAGTAGTATATGACAGTAGTATATAACAGTAGTATATGACAGTAGTATATAACAGTAGTATATGACAGTAGTATATGACAGTAGTATATGACAGTAGTATATAACAGTAGTATATGACAGTAGTATATGACAGTAGTATATGACAGTAGTATATGACAGTATTATATGATAGTAGTATATAACAGTAGTATATAACAGCAGTATATGACAGTAGTATATGACAGTAGTATATAACAGCAGTATATGACAGTAGTATATAACAGTTGTATATAACAGCAGTATATAACAGTAGTATATAACAGCAGTATATAACAGTAGTATATGACAGTAGTATATGACAGTAGTATA